ATCATCGGTCTCGCCACAGCCTTCGTGCACACGTTAGAACTCTACATGGCCCTGCGCTTTGCTGTGGCTATTGCTGTCTCTGGATTTGCCTTCAGTAGCGTCACCCTGCGTGAGTATCTGGGCCTGGAGCCTTCAGCCCAGTCAGGCACCCACATCTGAAGCAGCCACACCACAGCCTTCTCTGCTGGGCCTAAGGCCCCACTCCTGACATGGTGGCTTTGGGAGGAACAGGGAGAGAGTGGGCAGGGCTGGCCCAGTCTCATCCTCTGTTCCCACAGTTACAGAGTGGGTGGGGCCCTCACGGAGGACCCATGCTGTGGTCCTGACCCAGTGCGCCTTCGCCTTGGGGCAGATGGCACTAGCAGGACTTGCCTATGGTGTCCGCAACTGGAGGCTCTTTCAGATTGCAGGCACGGCCCCTGTCCTACTGCTCTTCTTCTACTTCTGGTGAGCAGGGAGCTGGCAGGACCAAGCCGGCATAGCTTAGCTGTGCTGTATTGGGCTGGGGGTAGCACCCACACTCCTGGGATGGTCAGAGGCCATGCTGAAGAGGGAGCCTGTAAGGGCTGGGGTGTGGGGCTCAGCCTGCACTAGAACTGTGGGAATGCTCCACAGGACTCCCAGCCCCAAGGTCATCATTATTCCTGGCCCACAGGGCTCTGCCAGAATCTGCGAGGTGGCTCCTGACCCGAGGGAGGATAGAGGAGGCTAAACAAGTGATCCAGAAGGCGGCCTTGGTCAATAGGCGGAAACTCTCACCAGAGCTCCTGAACCAGGTACTTCGAATAGGTCTGGGCCAGCCCTTGCCCAGCCCTGTCCCCAGGTATGACTCACTCAGGGCCTTACTCTGCATCCTCCTCCCAGCTGGTCTCAGAGCAGATAGAACCTTCAGGGAGTGCCCTGGATCTGCTCAGGGTACCCAGGTCTGGAAGGTGACCCTAGTTCTCTTTTGTGTCTGGTGAGAGCCCAGCCTGCACTAGAGTGCCCATTCCTTCCCTGTGGATAGCTGCAAAGAGCTGTCAGTCTCCTGGCATGGATCAGTGGAGTAGTGGTGCGCCTGCTCCTTCTAGGGACAGTCTCCTCTAGCTGTGCCCATGTCTCTGTGTGACTGTTGACTGTGGTAACCTTTCCCTCTGGGTGCAATGATGTCTCAGCCCCCAGCCATGACAGGGGCCGTTGGGTACTTTGTAGGTTTGTGAACAGTCTGGGGTACTTCGGCCTGGGCCTCAAAGTGGGAGACTTTGGTCTGGACATCTACCTGACTCAGCTGATTTTTGGAGCAGTGGAGGTGCCTGCCCGCTATGCCAGCATCTTCATGATGCAGAAGTGGGGCCGCAAATGGAGCCAGATGGGGACTTTGGTTCTAGGTGGACTCATGTGTATCACCATCATTTTCATCCCAGCAGGTACCAGAGCTCGCTGACCCCTCCCTCAACCCCAGTTGCCAGGGCTAGACCAGTTGCATTGTTCTGTTTCCAGGAATAAGGGCTTCTCCAAGGTGAGGAGCTTGGGTAGGCAGACTGAGGGGTAGGAATAAGTGATGGGGCTGCCTACCATTTGGGGCCTGGCTAGCATTCTCCCCTGGGTGCACCTGTGGTGGTCACTGCTGGCCGTGGTGGAGAAGATCGCCACAGCTGCTGCCTTTACCGTTGCCTACGTGTACTCTGCTGAGCTCTTACCCACTGTCATCCATTTAGAGCTGCCTGTGTGGTCTCTTTTCCTCTGCTCTGGAGACTCTAGATGTGGCCATCCCTTTTTCCCCCTCCATCTTTCACAAACAGCTATGGGGGCTGGCTGCAGGATAACAGTGCTGGGCAAGGCCTAGAGAAGCTAGAAATCCATCCCAACCTCACAAGTTGTCCCCAGGCTGGGGGAGGACAAATAATAGAAGTAGGCCATGCCCTGACCCTGCCAGGACTTCTAAGAGTGAATGGACTTCTAAGGGGGATGGTGCTCAGGAGGTGCAGCCTTTGACAGGTGAGCAGGAGTACAGCAGGCAGAGAGAGAGGTCTGGAGGATGGAGAAGCAGCCGGGAGTAGGAGTATGACAGCATCTTCATGAATGCTGGTATGCCAGCGTTGGGAGTTGGGGACCCTTCAGGAATGGGTCTTGGCTCTCCCGAGGAAGTAAACTGGGCCAGAGTGTGGCTTGGAGGTGGGAACAGGTGTGCTCAGCCTGCCCTGGCTCCCAGGCTGATGGGCATGGGGCTGGTGGGCATCTTCTTACGGATTGGGGGCATCATCATGCCTCTGGTGATCCTGCTGGAGGAGTACCACATGGGCCTGCCCTTGCTCATCATCGGCAGCTTCCCCATTTTGATAGGCTTGCTCTGTATCCTGCTGCCAGAGACACGTGGCCAGGCCCTGAAGGACAGCATTGAAGGAGCAGAGGCCTCACCCACAGTGAGTTGCTGGCTTGCTCTGTAGTCAGAATGTGGGCCTCATAGTGGCCGCCCCTCTCTGTATGCCCAGGCCTGCACCTCGCCACTGTCCATGTTTTCTAACAGGCCAATATAGGACCCTCCAACCCCACAGATGTCTTCCTGGCATTGGGTCAGTTTCTCCCTACTTTGGGACAGAGATGATGAGAGACATTGCCAGGGGACCAATTCTTGGACAGCCAGTAACAAGCTTCTGCTCCCTCCAAGTCCCCTAGTTGATGCCCCAAGAAAAGGAAACGGACCCCACAAGAAGAACCTCCTGCCCAGGGCTGGCCTTTGTGAGCAGCAGATACTTGTGACTGAGGTCTCTAAGAGCTAGACCATCGGCAGAAGGGAGCAGCCCAAACATCCCTTAGGCATAGCCAGGAACCATGAGGACATGGGGACAAGAGCAGCTTGCTTATGGAGGCAGCACACCTGCCATGACCCACCACGCACGACAGTCCCCAAAGTGTCTCAGACAGGACCTTGTCCCTTCCTCCCTCTCCTCACCCCCTCAACCTTCACCATATATTTTTGTGCACCAAAAGCTGGAAAAAGAGCTTACCCCACCACTGCCTCATTGCCCCAGCTGACCTCCCATCAGGCAGAAGCTTCCATGTCCCTTCCCACAGGCACCCAGCTTGAGAAAGTTTCTTTCAGAATGTGTGTCCCTTCCACTTGCTCACCTTCCCCTACATGGCCTAGGGAAGGGGGTGTGTGCTGCTGGACAAGGTCCCTCAATCCAGCATGGAAGTGCCCAGCTCTTTTCTTTCACATGAATATTTCCTACTTAGAGCTCCCAGCTTCCAAGTGATGGACAAAGTTCTATTTAGCTTCCCACAGCAAACCCATTCATAGAGTCCTCTTACTGAATGCTCACAAGTCTCTTGACACAATGTGTCACCTGGGCTAAAACTGGCAACTTGTGAGGAAAAAACAAAAACAAAAACGAACATCTCTGGGTAGAAGCAGGGGAAGGGCCATTTCCAAGGTGAAGCCAGTTTTTGCTCTATAAAGTGCGCATCTGTTGCCTTTGAGGTGGAATGACCATCACTCCCAGGAAGAGACTGAAAGGCACACTTTATGGACAGAAGCATTAATAAAAAAGATTCACTTATTGCTTTTGGGTCAATCTTTGGAGACTTTTTCTTTTCTTTCCTTAGGATTGTGGGCAATTTCTCTTCATATTTAAAAGCATTTTGTAGCTTGTTCTGCTTAGTGGGTAAATGTCCTTTAGCAGTGGCTGATGGCAGGTGAGCAGCTGAGACCCTGGGCCCCAGAGGAGAAGAGGTGCTGTCCTGATCTGCACTCTACCCTGAGGAACACCACAGGAAGGGGCCCTACTGGGTCAGGCCATGGCCAGCATGTGCCAAACTGTGCCTGTCCTCCTAAGGGTGTTATTAAACACAGGACAGCACAGATTGGGGGGACATGCCTGCCTCACTTGCTCACCTGCTGACCCACTCACCAATCTGCCAGGAAGATCCCATGTCACTTGCCCTGTATGTTGGGCCCAAAGATCCACAGTTACCGGTAGCTGTCATAGGGCGCCCCCGAACCTTGGGAGAAGAGCCAGAGAGAAGAAGAGAGGACATGATGGCTTTAAACAAGGCATCTGGTTTAGTATATAAGGCAGAGGGCCCTGCTAAGGGCAGGTGTAGAGAAGGCAGGCAGGGCTCCAAAATTGCTTTCTTATTGGGTAATGAGCAGTATTGGCAGGTGCTGCAGCTGGGAGGATTTCTGGGGGTTTGAGGAACCAAATACAGGTGGGTCTTGGAGGACCACATGTCCAATTTTGGACTGTGTTCTGAGAACAATATGCACTGAATTTCTTTTTCCTTTAAGCTGGGGGAAGGCCCAATAAGATTTGTATTTTAAAGATCTCGCTCTATCTGACGAAGGTGTTGGAAGAGGGCAAAAGTGGAAGCAGATGACCCAGGCAGGACAACAGTGCAGCAATAAAGTAATCAACAGCAAGCATTATCACCGCCTTTATCCTCATGAGCTGTTGGTGAGGAAGTGGGCTGATGGTGCCGAAACTGGGAAGCAGCGGATCTCAGAGCCAGTGAGAAGGTGAAGCCTCTTTGATAATCTCACCCCGGCCTGTGACCTGGACACAGGACTTGGTTCTGGGTCTCCTTTGTTTCTGCCCAGAAGATGCACCCTGGCTGCCGTGTCCCATGGCTGCCCCCCACCAAGGGACCTCTGAGACTGAGACCAGTGCCCTGAGCACCTGGTGTTCCCTTTGTCCCATGTCCATAGTGTCAGATACCCTCACACTTCCTGAGCCAGCTGTTCACTCTTTAGGCACTGTCCTCACTGACTATAGGCACAGGCCACCATGCCTGGCATCTTCTCCTCTTCTTATAGGGCCATTAATTTCATCCCAAGGGCCCTACCCCCATGACCTAATTAACTCCCAATGACCCCATCTCCAAACACCACCACACTGGGGTTAAGCTCTTCTGTATGAACTGGGGAAACACAAACTTTCTTTCCACAGAACCATCCTTAAGCCTCATGGGCTGTCTAGTCTGTTGACCCTTTTACGTTCTCCCTACCTCTCACTGTCCTCTCTACCCAGGTTAGAGGATAGAGGCTATCATTTTAATTTCTTTTGAGACAAAGTGATCCTCTCTGTTGCCAATACCCTATGCTAGAACCCCTTTTACCTTTCAGTTACTAGCAAACCCACGGCAGCAAGTGAGCCCAGTGGTCTGCCCTCCCTTTCCTTCCACCCTAGACTCCCAGTCATTGCTTCAGAAAATTACATGACAGATTCCTCAATTGAGTCTTTAACCCAGAATTTCTCCCGGCTGCCCTCGTCAGCTTGTTGTCCAGCTCTGACCACTGGTTATTTCTAACCTCTGCTCTGCATCCTTCCCTTCCCCCTACCTCCTAGCTGATCCCTTCTCTTCCTTTCAGAGATGGGAGAGGCCATTGCATGGCAGCTCCCCAAACTACCTTCTCCTGAATCTTTAGCCTTCCCCTTTGCTCTCCCTTCTGCTGCAGTAAAGGAACTGTCCTGCACAGAGGTGGTGGTGATGGTGATGCTGAGGCAGGCATGTCCCTTACCTCTGCTGCCACCTTTGCCTGTGAAGACCTAGGAGCTGCTACCTCTCTTCTCTATTTCCTCCACCTCAGGCCAGTCAGTGGGGAACCTATGCACTGAATTTGCCTTTGCCTTCAAGTTTCTTTGCAGGTGAAAGATTGTAGCTCCGTCTGGGGTTTCTCCAGCTCCTGGAGGTCTCCAGATGATCCAAGCATTAGTGTCAGGCACAGATGCTCTTGACAGTTGGAATGACAGTTGTCTATATGTAACAAAGAAGTTTCCAGTTTCCCAGGTGCCTAGGATATGACCAGGGACTCCTCAAGGCGAGCTCTTGCCCTGCAGGTTGGAGTTGGTGGCCTCCCTGGACCCTGGTTGCCTACCTCCTTGCTTTTGCTCTTTGGCTGTTAGGTGAATGGGGATCATTCAGTCCAGTTATGTGAAAGGATCCTAATAGTTACTAGTCTTCTTAATCTGTCATTAAGGGAAACAAAAATGATTTCATAATATTTAACAAAGATAATTGATTTTTATAGGTAGTATGACCATTAACTCTATAAACATATATCTGCAGGGAACACTTTTTTGTTAAGTCCAGAAATTTAATCTGTGCTGTTTGGGCTTCCCTCTACCTGAGGAATCCAGAGATGGAGCCTGTGTTATGAGGTCTCAGATGACCAAAGCATGGGTGCTCCCACCCTAGTTATCAGCCTCAATTATGACTTCTGGTTGTTCACTATGCCACCTGTAACCCCACCAGGCTTCTACTTAAGTGTAGGGAACTCTAGGGTGCCTGAGGACCCTATAACCCAAAGATGTCAGACAAGTGCTAGTGTCAGACACAGAATCTGATACCCGAGACACCAAGAAGCCTGAGTAAGGTGACCAGACGTCCCACTTTTGGTGTGATAGTCCCAATTTTTAATAATTTGTCCCACGTCCCACAGCATTTTTAAAAAGTCCTGATTTTTTGGAAAGAATGCGAAACATGTTAGATAATTGCCTCAGAAAGCCCCTTCCTGCCCTTAAAGTTACAACTCCTCCCCTAACCCAGGGAGTGGCCTGCTTACCCCTGCGTGCTAGTGCTAGGTAAATAAGTGATGTCAACAAACCAGCTATTCAAATAATTTAGGTAAGTAAATTTATTTATTTATTTTCATGAATTTAGCCGACAGTATTATTGTACTGACAGCAAACAGTATTATTTATATTTTATAGTGGCAGCAAAAAGTCTAGAGTGCCGGCCTTGAAAGTGACACTTACGACTTACGAGGTATCATTATTAAAAAAAATATTGATAAGGAAAAGGCTAAATCTTGGGCATCAGCAAAAATCACAATAGAGAACAAATGGTTAGAAATATTTCATCATTTTGAAACAAACCATGTTCCATACAATAATGCACTAAAAATTGTGGGATACGTGCTGTCCTTCCCAGGAACTAATGCGCGACTGAATGCGTTTTTTTCTATGGTAAATAAAGTGTGGACATCAGAAAAATCACAATTAAGTGTTGAGACTTTGAAAGCCATTTTATGTGTGAAATATAATTTAACAAATTCTTCTGAAAAATTTCATGACCTTTTAAACAATGACAGCCAATCTACTAAAAAATATTCACTCAAATGAGAAATATGCCAAAGAATAAAATAATACTATACATAATTTTTTAATGTATTATATTTGTAAATTGTAATTATGTTGAAATTAAAAAAAAATTACAATACTATTTTTGTATTCTATGAAAATTTTTGTTGCTCCATACAGACCAAATTTTTAATTAAGAACCACCCCCTTCTACCTCCCCACACCTGGTCAATGGTGTCCTGCTTTACCAATGTTAAAAATCTGGTCACCTTACTGAAATGCTCTACCCTCATGTAAGTGAATACTAAACCTATTGTAAACTACAAATTAGCTATAAGTAGTGT